AGAGAGAGAGAGAGAGAGAGAGAGAGAGAGACCGGTGTTTTCTCAGCACAAAGCCAATGCTCATACAGGGGCGGCGTGGGTCAGGCGTAAGCGGAGTGAGGCTCAATCCGGGTTGCGTTAGCCTTTGTAAGATGAAACCGCGACTTCGACTTTGAGCTCTAAATAGTCTTCCGTTTCCTCGGCCTCTTCTCGGGTCCTACGAAGGTTAGGAAGAAAGTGCTTGATTATCATAAGAAGCGTGTTCATGTTGAATTAGTAAGACCGTAGTTGTTTGCATGTGTGCTGGTAATTATATATGTAAATATTGTTATTATTGTTATTACTATTATTATTGTTATTATTATTATTATTATTAGCGCCATCATTATCATTATTATATTTTATTTTTTTATTGTTATTGTTAGTATGTATTTTATTGTCGTTTTTCTTGATATTAGAATTATTATTGTTATCACTATAATTATTATTTTCATCATTATTATTGTTTTTGTTGTTATTATTATTATTATTGTTATTGATTTATTATTATTGTTTGCTATTATTATTACTGTTGTTGTTATTACTGTTTATTATTATTTTTATTCTTATTATTAATGTTATTATCATTATTATTATTATATTATTGTTGTATTGTTGTTATTGTTCATTATTGTCATTCTTGTTATTATTTTTGTTATTGTTGTTTTTGTTATTATCATTATTAATATTATTTTTGTTGTTATTATTTTTATTGCAGTTACTATCAGTGTTTGTTATTGTAGTTCTTGTAAACGCTATGTTAAAATACTATGCAATGTAAATTGACAATAAGCATATGCCTTTTATGAACAATCAATAAGAGTTATTGAGGCATCTGTGACAAATGGAAGACGGAAATTGTGTCAGAAAAGAGTCAGTGAAATAAAGCTGAGGCCGCGCCATGGGGACTGGATGGACAGCGTGGTGAGGTCAACATGTCAAATATGTCGTCTTGTGACTGGGAGTGTTGCCACTCCCCGCCTCTGTTCCATCTCTGTCCTCACTGCGGGCCTCCCCCTGAACCGCGCCCCCACCAACCACACCCGCATACGCCCGGCGCCCAACAGTCTCGACCAGAGAGTCCGTGTGTGCTATACACCCGTCCCCGGAGTCCGGTTATCCGAGATCGCTCTCGACCGCACCCGTCCTCCCCGCGCCCACGGAGTGCCAGCCCTTGCAGTGGCCGCCCGCGGAGCCTGGACTCGAGGTTGTGCCACGAGTGTGCTTGTGACTACGAAGCCGGGCGCGAGAGTGGAGAGTGGGACCGCAGTAAGTGACGGGCATTTTTAGCAGTGTTGGTAAAATATACATTTTGATTACTATACCATGATAGTTCTTGACCATTATCTATTTTTTCAAGGATCTGAAATGTAGGCATATTTTCTGTTGATATAGTATTCGAATGATTTACAGGCTTAACATGAACCATGAAGAATAAAGGGTTTTCTGCTCAGCAAATATTCACGTTGGATAAAGGGAGCAACAGGAAACAGGTGATTCGGCCGCTCCTTATGATTGTCCTCCGCTCGCCATGCGGGAAATGGCGCGAGAAAACGGGCGGAAACGGGCAATCTGCAACGCGAGTGACGGCGTTTTTCCTTTTCTTCCTGTCCCGTTGCCGTAGAAAAGTAAAAGAAGAGGAGGAGGAGGGGGAAGAAGAAATCGATTTGAAGACGGAAGATAGCAAAGCAGATGAGAGGAAGTGGGAGAGGGATAGAGGGAGGAAAGGAAAAGAGAGGGATATCTGGAAATAGTGCTGGTGACGGAAACGAGAGAAGGGGGGGGGAAGAGAGAGAGAGAGAGANGAGTGGGATCAGACACTCCTGAGAGAGAGAGAGAGAGTGGGAAGGATGGTGGGAGAGGGAGGGAGAGAGAGAGAAGGAGGGAGAGAGTGGAAGGGAGGGAGGGAGAGAGAGAAAGACAGACAAAGAGAGAGAGAGAGAGTGGGAAGGAGGGTGGGAGATGGAGGGAGAGAGAGGGCAGGAGGGAGGAAGAGAGTGGGAAGGAGGGAGGGAGAGGGAGGGAGAGAGAGAAAGACAGACAAGGAGAGAGAGAGAGAGAGTGAAAGAGACAAAAAAAGAGAGAGAAAGCGAGAGAGAGGAGATATATATATATAGAGAGAGAAAGTGAGAGAGAGAGAGGCTATTATATTTCATATGTAGAAGGTTATTGTATTATATCCATTTTGAATTTTGTATAATGTATTTTTCTGCTTCTTTCCTTCTTTGCATCGTCTTTTCTTCTTCTTTTTTGCATCGTCTATTTTTTTCTTTCTACTTTTCTTCCTTTACCTTTCGTCTTTTGTTCTTCTTCGTTTCTTCTTCTTCTTCCTTGCATCGGCTTCTTTTTCTTCTTTTTTTCTTTTACCTTTCATCTTCCCTTCTTCTTCGTTTCTTCTTCTCCTTCTTCTTCTTCTTCTTCCTTCCGTCTTTTGTTCTTTTCTTCTTTCCTTGTTCTTTCTTCTTCTCCTTCTTCTTCTTCTCTTCTTCTTTTCCGTACTTTATTATTTTCTTCTTTCCTTTTTCTTCTACTCCTTCTTCTTCTTCTTCTTCTTCTTCTTCTTCTTCCTTTTGTCTTTTCTTCTTTCCTTCTTCTTCTTTCTTCATCATATTTCATTCGTCTTCTTGTTTTTCTTCTTTGCCTTTTTCTTGTCCCTCTTCCCCAGCTTTTTCCTCCTCCTCCTCCTTTTCCTCTTTTTTCTTATTCTTATTCCATTTCCTTCCTCTTTCCTTTCCTACTTTTTCTCCTCTTCCTTCTCCTGGCTTATTCTCCTTTCTCCTTCTCCTCCTTCTCCTCTTTATTTCCTTTTCTCCTCCTTCCTCCTCTACTTCTCCTTGGCCTTCTCTTTCTCCTCCTCTTCCTCTTCCTTATCCTCCTCTCTCCTTCTCCATTTCATTTTCGTCCTCCTCCTTCTATTCTTCTTCTTCTTCTTCTTCTTCCTCCTCCTCCTCCTCCCCATCTTCATCTTCATTCTCCTGCTCCTCACATCCTCCTGTGTACATATATGTATGTGTGTGTTTGTGTGTGCGTGTGTGTGCGTGTGTGCGTGCGTGCGTGTGTCTGTGTGCGTGCACGTGTGTGTGTGTGTGTGTGCGTGCNTTATGTTGGTGTGTGTTGTGTTTGTGTGTTTGTTGGTGTGTGTGTGTGTGTGTGTGTGTGTGTTGTGTGTGTGTGTGTGTGTGTGTGTGTGGTGTGTGTGTGTGTGTGTGTGTGTGTGTGTGTGTGTGGTGCTGTGTGTGTGCGTTGTGTTGTGTGCGTGTCGTGACGCTGTCATGTGTGTTACGCGCGCGCCGCTGCCCCACTAAAGTAGAGTTAGATACAACGTTTGAGTTTTCAAACTTTCCTCTTTCCCAGTGTTAGATGTTTTACACCTCTCTCTGGACCTACCAGTTTGACCGAGGTACTATTTGCAGAGTATAACAAACAGTAAAAGTAAAATAATAATAATAATAATAATGAAATAAATATAATAATAATAATGATAATGATTGATTAATGATAATGATAATGATAAGAATAATGATAATAATGATGATAATGATAATATAGTATTTAATAATAATAATGGTAATAATAATATAATAATTAATAATATCAATTAATAATATATAATAATAATAATAACAATAATAGTAAAATAAAATAAATAAAAAATAAATTAAATATATTTTATATATATATATATATATATATATATATATATAGCGTCGTTGTACGACTTGATGGTCCGTAAGTAACCATTGTCCCTTTAAATTGGTGTTCCTTAACGAATGTGTTCCGAGTCAGAATTGGTTCGCCGAGATATTGGACTGGGTCGGCAAGCTTTAAGTGACCCCCCCCCTAACCTATTCATCAATAAGGGGGGGGGGATGCCTTTGTACTTGGGTGTTACTTTTATCCTTCTTGAAATCTTTAATAACGATAGGCATATGCAGCGGTAAGGTGTTTTATGGGGATTTTGGGTCATTATAATCTGCGGGACAGGATTTTGGGTCGCTTCTTATAAGGGTGAGGAGCAACTGATTTATATCAACGTCTCAGCTAATCAGATTCTAATTAAAACTATATTGTCTCCCTGTCTACTTTTTCAGTATGTACATCGTTGGCAGGACTTTTGTTCTTTTTGTTTTAGGACGAGGTGTTTACTTGATGTTTCGTTTGTTTCCATTTCTGTGGTATTTTGAATTGGGCACTGAGTTTGATGTATTTACACCAGTGGTGGCGCTTCACACAAAACATACACCCCCCCCCTCTCCCAAATATACAGGCCAAAAATGTGTAAATCAGTCACTACTAGAATTGCAGAACACCACAAAATTGTCCACCTTTTTTTGGATCACAATTGCCAACGGGGGAAAAACACGTTTGAAAAACTATATTTGCATTCGAGTTATCAAACACTAACCCTGTGACCGCTCGCCGTATAAGGAAGTACTTCTGCTATTCAAAATCTGCAGTTTTAAGTACTTTCCTGGTGTTCGGAATCAAGTTTTATTGCTACCTTTAACGGCTTTAGCTCATTCATCAAAAAAAAAAAAAAAAAAAAAAAATAAAAAATAATAATTAATAAAAATAAATTAAATAAATAAAATAAATAAAAAATAATCGGTAGAACAGCATTATCGGACTGGTTGGCATTTTCCACTGTCTTAATCCCAAGTCGTTCGGATACACTGGTCTCCAGCTTGGTCTATTTCCGTGTATATCTACATACATACATTATATGCATACTATATACACATAGAATATACATACATATGTACGGCCATACATTATGTACACATACACGCCTACACATACATACATTACATACACACACATGCAGAGTAAACATACATAAATATACATTTCGCATTACATACATATATACATGAAACACCAACGGAAGAACTATCTCGGGTACGTAAAAAAAATGATTCATACCCCTACACGTTTTTAAAAAGAACATCTTCCCAGCATTCAGCCCCAAAAAAAAAAAATAAATAAAATTGTTTCCCCTTGACGTGGAACGGAGAACACCCACAAGAAAAAGGGAAATATTTCGACACCAGATGGCGTTAGTTCCTCCGAAGTCTTGCCCGAAGGAGACGTAAAGTAAAGATGTTTATTCTTGTAGTTATATTGTACTCTGATCGCGGGGGAAGAGCAGGACTTTTGCGGCAGAGTTCCCTTGAATAAAACGGAAGTGCTTGGTATGCAAATGATGCGCTTTGTACAGGGCCTTTTGTACATGTGTTTGTTCGTTTGCAAACTTATACATAGATATATGTTCTGTACATGTATTTATCCCTCTTATCTATATATCTAGAGCTATACATATGCGGGAATGTGTCTAATAAATAAATATATATGTATGTATGTATATGAGTGTATGTATATGTGTGTATGTATGTATATGGTGTGTGTGTTGTATATATATATATAATATATATATATATATATATATATATATATATATATATATATATATATATATATATATTTTCTGTTTTCCCTCCGCTTAGTCCTTTCTTTCTCACTGGCCCTCGTGCATTAATATTTTTCAGACCCAGCCACAGCTACTGTTTGTCTTTTATTTTTTCCCAACAATATTTCAGAGAGTTTACACGAACGCGGAAGTTGCGAAGGAACCCATTGCAGCCACTCGCACTTCGCCACTCGCTCTCTCTTTTCTCGCTCTCTCTCTTGCTCTCTTGCTCTTGCTCCTTTGCTCTCTTTCTCTCTCGGATCTTGCTCTCTCTCTCTCTCTCTCTCTCTAGCTCTTGCTCTCTCTCTCTCTCTCTCTCTTCTAGCTCTTTGCTCTCTCTCTAGCGATCTTTGCTCTTCCTCGCTCTAATCGCTCTTGCTTTCTCTCGCTCTTGTTTTCTCTCGTCTCTCGCTTCTAGCTCTCGCTCTCTCGCTCTTGCTCTCGCTCTTTCTCTCTCCTCGCTCCTTGCTCTCTCTCGCTTCTAGCTCTCTCTCGCTCTTCGCTCTTTGCTCTCTCGCTTTTGTTCTCTCTCGCTCTTGTTCTGCTCTCGCTCTTGTTCTCTTCTCGCTCTTGTTTCTCTCTCGCTCTGTTCTCTCTCGCTCTTTGTTCTCTTCTCGCTTCTTGTTCTCTCTCGCTCTTTGTTCTTCTCTCGCTCTTGTTCTCTTCGCCTCTTGTTCTCTCTCGCTCTTTTCTCTCTCGCTCTGTTCTCTCTCGCTCTTGTTCTCTGCTCGCTCTTGTTCTCTTCTCGCTCTGTTCTCTCTCGCTCTTTGTTCTCTCTCGGCTCTTTGTTCTCTTCTCGCTCTTGTTCTCTTCGCTCTTTTTCTCTCTCGTCTTGTTCCTTCTCGGCTCTTGCTCTCTTTCGCTCTTGCTCTCTCTCTTCATTGCTCTCTATTCTCATGCTCTCTATCTCTCTCTCTCATCTCTCTCTCTCTCTCTCTCTCTCTCTCGTCTCTCTCTCTCTCTCCTCTCTCTCTCTCCTCTCTTCTCTCTCTCTCTTGCGCGCTCTTTCTCTCTCTCTCTTGCGCTCTCTCTCTTCTCTCTTGCGCTCTCTCTCTCTCTCTTTCGCGCTCTTCTCTCTCTCTTGCGTCTCTCTTTCTCTCTCTCTTGCGCTCTCTCTCTCTCTCTCTTGCGCTCTCTCCTCTCTCTTGCGCTCTCTCTCTCTCTCTCTGCTCTCTCTCTCTCTCTCTTTGCTCTCTCTCTCTTTTTTTCTCTTGCTCTCTCTTTCTCTCTCTTACCATGTCTTGTGTGTGTGTGTGTGTGTGTGTTCAAGGTCTGTGTGAAGTCTTACGACAGGAACATGAACATGTTCAGATTTGAA